GGGGAGGAAAAACTCCCTTTAACTTAAAATCTAATTCTGCAGTTGCAATTTATGCAAGATGGGCAGTAGCCTTAATATCAGGTTGAAATTCCAGACCAGGGTTCAAACACACATTTTCAATTCCCAGAGGGGTTTCCTAAATGGCTCACTTGAAACAAAACTTGGGGGCGGCTGTGGCTCAGGAGGTAGAGCGGGTCGTTTCCTAACCGAAGGATTAGCGGTTTGATTCCTGGCTTGTCCAGTCAACATGTCAAAGTGTCCTTGAGCAAGACACTGAACCCCCAGTTGCTCCCGGTGATGTCAACTGGGAGCAACTGTGTGATGTGAGTGTTTGGGAGTGCGAATGGGTGAATGGCCAAATAGTGTGAAAGCGCTTTGAGTGTGCTGTAAAGCATAGAAAGGTGCTATACAAATATAAGACCATTTACCAAGACCAAACGATGACTGCAACTGACTGTCATGATGTTGAATTTTCGAAATTGGCCATGCAGGATTTATTGGTAGTTAGAGTGGCGATAACAGAGATTTACTGGAATTGGGGATGGCACCATTGTTACTTCATTTTTAAGTTGAAAGAATCAAATCAACACTTTGAGATCAGTGTAACAAAAGGAGCTCATGTAGAAACAGTGATGTGAGCCTTAAAGTGTAACTTTCCCAGTGGATTTCCTGACCTATGGTGAAAATCGACCTGCTCATTACAGCCTCAGTCCATTAGTCTTATCTGACCACCCCTGCTCTGTCTCCACCCCTTCATTCTCAGTCTCTACATATGTCTCCTCCCTCATGGAAAGATCATATATGGTGGTCAGGCCAGAAGGATTTCAATTCTCTTCAGGGACATTTTATAATAGGTGTTGTTTCCTATTTTGGGCGTTGTGACTGACTATTACCAGAATTTGAGGAGTGGGACTTTTATTGTTTAAGGGTAAGGTCTAAAAACTTTCTTTTTTTTTCATTTGTTTTATTGTGTTTTCTTTTGGAAACAATAAAAAAAGTCAATTCTCAGGGAATAAATGATGAAATAACTCTTGCCTGCAGGTATAGACATCTTTTCTCTGTACTTTGTAGGACCTAACCGTCCTGCATGTTCATTTTTGAGGAAGAGTCGAAGTCAGAACAGCCTTTAAAATATTTATTACAATCTTGATGAAGAAAAGCAATACAGAGCTCTGGGTACTTTCTCTATCTGAGGCCCTGATTCTAAACAGCAAAACCGTTCGACTTGCCTACAGAGCAAAGAAGAACGCCTCACTCCTCAACCCAGTCAAATTAATACAGTTTTTGGAATATGCAAATGATGGTAGATCTGACGTCATCCGCGTTGTCCTTCATCCTCGCTCCTTGGTCGGTTTGTTGATCTCGTTCTGTTCTGACCCCTCATTTGGTGATCTTGTCACCAGGCAGATTTTGATCTGTAACATTCTGACAACATCCTGACCTTTCAATGCACTAAGCACCATAGGCAGTTTTAGGGACAGCACCTTGAGCGTTGCTATGTGACCTGGACCAGTTCCTGTTTGTGGTTTCCTGTCCCACACATGTCCCTCACACTCTTCTTAAAGACAAGTGGACTGGTTAAAACAAAAGTAAATCATACAATATGATACTAAAATACACATAGATATATTTGCTAATGCAGATTATAATGTCAATCATAGAAGGCCAAGCATTTCATATAATGTTGATAAATGTTGATAATCTAAAGCCAAGACAATAAAACCTTACACCCACACACAATTCTCGTGCAGACAGTTTAGTCATCTCAGTATCTATCTGCACAACTTCCTGTTGTTCTGAGTCTCTCTGCACCTATTCACAGCATTTCATGTCCACAGGTCAAATCTTTACAAAGGTCAAACAGATTAAACAATTATTTAAACTGTTTTGCAAATACATAACATAGCACTATATTATTTTATCAAGAATTTCTTTCTACAAATTTAACCAGAACCTCAACTTTTTATTTTGTTTCTCCCAGTAGACCATCAGGAGTCAATGTCTCTGCCTCTGGCCAGATCTCTTCCAGCCCTGCTCAGCCACTGGTGGCACCAGCTGAGGTTTTGCCATGAGAACAAGAAAGGATGGGACGAGATGTTGGATGAGACATATCTGCTTCACATCAAACTGTAAGAAACTCCTATCAAATACCACACACCAGTTTTAACAATGAACTGAGAGATGTCAGTATTATGCAAATACTGTTTGGGGTTTTTCTTTTGTCCTTCCTTCAGCACAAATGACATTCCTCTCTTCTATGCGGCTAAAACAAATAACATTGCCTGTATCAAGAAACTGCTAAGCTCTGCATCCACTAACATCTTTGAAAGAGGTATGACTGAGCTGTGAATTTTAACTTCACTGTGTTATTTCAATGTGGTACAGTGTCAGTTGTACTTTATGAAGTTGTGATCCTCTCACTCAGGTGCTCTTGGAGAGACAGCGCTTCATATTGCTGTGATGAATGATAATGTGGAGGCAGCAGTGGCTCTGATGGACGGGGCTCCTGAACTCATCAACGAGCCCATGACCTCTGAGCTTTTCAAAGGTTGACATATGTAAATACACATGCACATCATGCAGTTGACATTTTACTGCACATGTGTATGCACAAATGCAAAAAATGTCCATATCTATGGTTAACGAATAGCAAAAAATGAAGAATTTTAGAGAAAGACTGAGATACAAAGAAGGATTTAAGGGAAATTTAACTTGTTCTCTCTTGTGTTTATGTAATGTTTTTGTTAATCTTCCTCTCAAGATCTCTTATTAGCTCAAAATATGCATGTCAGCAGCAGTTTGCTTTAGCCTTTTGTCCTGCTTTAGCAAAGTAGGACATAACTAAAATGTAATGAACACTGCATGAATGGCAATGCATGAATACCGTTTTCATTAATCTTCCTCTCAAGATTTCTTATTAGCTCAAAATATGAATATCAGCAGCAGTTTACCAGTAATGACCTCCTCACAGCCTTTTGCTTTAGCAAATCTGGACACAACTAAATGTAGTGCACGCATGTTGTTTGCACAACCAACACAATATATGAGGACTGGTTACCAGCTGTAACCTGATTAATTTACATATTAATCCATCATATAATAATGAAACTCTGAAAGGGGTATTCTGTATAATGAGAATTTCTACTTTTAATACTGCAAGTACATTTAGTAAACAGTAAAAATAAAAGTTTGTATCCAGGCCTTTTACTTGTAATGCAGTATTTTTATAATGTAGTATTATGTGAATACTTCTCCATCACTGCTTAGAGCAAAGCAAAATAACCAACTCTGTCTGTCTGTCCTCTGTCTCAGGTGTCACTCCTCTCCACATTGCTGTGGTGAATCAGAACATCAGTTTGGTCCATCACCTCATTAGTCATGGTGGTGATGTGGCTACACCTAGAGCCACTGGGCTGTACTTTCGGAAGAGGAGAGGAGGACTCATTTACTTTGGTGAGTCAGCATGAGCGAGCCTAAAATGTACAGGGTGGCTGAGTAATGACAAAGCTGATGGCTTGATTCC